AAAATGGGCATTTCTGAGTCTTCTGCTGCTGGTGGACACAGAAATGGCCGAAGCAAAGTAGTTAAAATACTTGAGAATCTGCATCGTGTATGTGTGTGTCTGGGTATTCATACGGCTCCAAATAAAAACTGTAGAACACACATGGGGTAAAAACTCCATGATCAAAATTTCAAAAATGGCCTCCAATTTTGTGGGCCACACTTAGGCCAGAATTGCAAAAGAGCACAAGTTTTTTTTCAGGACCAAATTTTCAAACGCTCAGTACCCACAATTAGGGACAGAATTCAGCTCTTTTGAAGTTATGGACTTTATTGAGGTGCCTAAATGGGAGCTAAGTTCTTTTGAAGTTTGACCCTGATTGTGAGTGCCAAGATATGCTGAAAATCAACTCCCTGGAGCCTGATTTTCAGAGGTGCGGAACACCCAGAATGCCAAGTGAAGTTAATGGGAGTGATGTGAACTCAGCACCTGTTAAAAAAAATCACCTCTGGGTATCTCAAAAGTTGGACTCTCAAAAATTTGAGGCAACTGAAATTAGAGGCCACTTTTGTAAAGTTGTCTGAATGTGTTTTTGTAGTTCCAGAAAAGTGACTACTGGAAATGGATATCACTGATATAATGGAAATATTTGATACAATATCAGAAAGCTGCCACTGTTGAGCTAAGTTCATTAAAATATATATATATACGGACGTGTATCCGGTCCCTGAATGAGAATGAACTCGCTATTCCAATACGTCTGTTGCATCTGTAATTACTATGACTCTGTGGTTCCCGACCAGGGTTTTAAATCTGAGTTTACAGTATCTACGGAGTGTTGTCAATAACATTTAAAGTGAATTAATTACTGAAGTGGTTTTAATTTATTTTCATTAATTATAAGCTTATTAACCAATTAATTAAATTCAAATACAAGATGCAACATTGTTCAGTGCTACACCCTGATAAGCAAACAAGCAACATAATCATATTTTCCGTAAATCAAAATGATGATTAGGAAGGATGTGGGGACCTCAAGTTTGTTCTAGGAAAATTACTTTACTTTATTCCTAGAGGCGTGCAGGTTGCCAAATACCAACTGCTGTCAACCACTAATAAGCTATTAGAATTACCCGCTTGCTACAGAACCTGGTCTGCCAAGAGAATGCAATCAAGGTATATCAAGGTACTATATTTTGGCACAATGTCTGATGTTTTCAAAACCTCTGAGTGGTTTCAGATGCCCAATTCCAAATCCCAGTTTGTACTGAGCATCCGCAGAGAGCTATCTGTGAACCGGAGTTTCCATTTTGTGGGATGTGTCATGATTTTGAAATTTGTTTTGTTCCAAATCAGAATGAAAGTAAAAACATTTGAAATGTCCTGTGATGTGAAATGTTCACAAAAAAATTACATTTTAGGTCAACCAAAATGTTTCATGTCAATTTTGACTTTTAACATTTTTTAATAATATAAAGAAAAATTTCAAAATGAAAAAGTCCATTGTTTCATTCTAAAAATGTCAGAATGGAACATTTTGACCTTATTGAAGCACTGTTTTCTAGTTTTTTCCAGAAATGGAACTTCAAAATTTACATATTCCCGCAGGAAATACATTTTCTGACCCCCCCAAAAAAACCATTCAGTTGGAAAATTTTCAACAAGGTCTACATCCAAATCTTAGTGGCGCTGAAAATCTCAGCTATTACATTAAAGCAGGCAATGCAATTTATTTAATATAGAACATTTCTAATAAGCAATGTCGATCGTGCTACTGTATACCACACTGTCATCTTCACCAGAATTCCTCAAACAACAATCAATTAATTCCCAAGGGTGGTGGTGGTGGAAATATTTAACCACAATTTTTATATATTTTGTGTGTGTATTAAGGAACTAACCTGGAGTGAAATTTACCACTTTCAAGAGGGCTATGCACCACCCAAGTGTCCTATCTTGAGGGGTAAGCGGTACCTAGACAGGCACTTTGCATGCGGGGGTGAATTTCTCCCACATTATGTGTTGTATTGTCCAAGGAATTCCTTGATTTATAATATGCATTCCCCCTAGTCTGCCCTTTGCTTCCTTCTCCCATTCCTCTGTCTGTAAGTTGTTCATTTAGGCACTGATCTCCAAAGGGTAAGGTCTTATTCTAAGGGCTTGTCTACATTACCCACTGGATCAAAAGGCAGCAATCGAACTGGGGGAGGGGTATCGATTTATCGCGTCTAGTCTAGACGCGATAAATCGACCGCCAAGCGCTCTCCCGTCGACTCCGGTACTCCACCAGGGCGAGAGGTGCAGGCGGAGTCGATGGGGGAGCATCAGCTGTCGACTTACTGCACTGAAGACTCTGCGGTAAGTGGATCTAAGTATGTCGACTTCAGCTACGTTATTCACGTAGCTGAAGTTGTGTAACTTAGATCGATCCTCCCTAGTGTAGACCAGGCCTAACTTTAAGAAGTGCACGGCCTACTATGGTACCATAAAAGGAAGGATGGTTTAGTATTAGGGTGCCAGCCTAGGATGTGGGAGATCTGCTCCACTGTTGTTCCACCATAGACTTCTTGTGTGACCTCGGGCAAGCCTCTCTGTGCTTCAGTTCCTTACCTGTCAAATGGGCATAATAGGTTCTTCTGTAGAAATGCTATGAGGATACACATTGAAGACTGGAAAGATACTTTGATAATTGGGGCCACTTAAATATCTTAGATAGATGTAAAATATAAAGCCCAATTCTGCTATCCTTGCCCTGACGTAATATCTTAATCTGCCAATATTCCCATCGATTTCAACCCTCAATAAATAATAATGTGAGATGTAATTTGTGGAAGCAAACATGTGGCATTTTAGATCTGGGTCTCTGGTCCATTTTGAACTCTCCCCCCCACCTCCTGATGAAGCTATTGCAGCTGGTAAAAGGGTTAAAGAGTTTAAAGTGTTGTAATGTACAACACTCCTGCGTGTACAATCAAAATGCATGCTTTAAATAAATGTTCTCTCTTACCTGTTGATGACACAAACTGCCAGACTCCTGGGTTACTCCAATGGGACTGGGCATGAAACTCAAAGCTAAAATTAAAAAAGCTTTTTGTGAGACTAAGCACCATTGTGGTTCTTCCAGCTCAAGAAGAGAGCAGCATTGGTGTGTGTGTGCACACGCGCATGTATCTATATTTGCATTATATCAACTTTATCTCCCACATAATTAGATTTTAATGTTTAGACTTTTGGGACAAGTTCTGTTCTCAGTTATATGGGTTTGAACTCAGAACGACGTCACTAAAGCCAGCGGGTTAGGCACTCAGCAGATGTAAATCAACTGAGGATTTGGACCCAAAAAATTATTTTGGAATTCATCTGGTACAAGCAGAATTTGGCCTCTCCAGTGTAATTTCGAATCCTGGCCCATTATGATGTCCTCAGAGTGTAGGATTGTTGGGGATGAAAAAACAGCTGCCAGTCACTCAGCTCTGAAAAAAGTATCGTATTCCTGGATACCCCCAGAAAATAAAAGGGCCAAATTGTCTGGTTGCTAAACAGCACTCGCCTCCCCTTTTTCCTCATCCCATATTCTGGCAGTGCAATGTTTGCAGGAGGACATTGTTAGGTCAGTATCATCATGCTAAGAGAAAGTCAGAATCATTTGAACGCACAGAAGTATGTGGGTTCCTTGGGAACAAAAATTCCACTTTAATGAATATCCTTATTGCTTGCAATTTGAGTATCTTTTTTTATTCTATGCCCAGCCTTACAATCCAGACCCACCCACACACAACCCACACACAACCCCCCTACTTGGTCCTGTCTCAGTGCAGTCCTACATTTCTATTATGTTTTATTTATAGATCGACAGACAGAGAGACACTTTTCTTTCTATGTATTACATACACACACACAAAATATTTACTGGTTTGTATAGTCATGTATATGCCCCTTAACTGTTCTAGTAGTGAAGGAATACATCCTACCCCCCTCCACTCTCTCCCTTTGCCTGCATCCACTTGATAGTTTTCCAGTTCTGACATTTCAAACATGCAATGCCATATGTATTGCCACTTTCAGGTAATTATCACGTAAAATTAGGCTAGTCTTGTACATGAAACTAGCAATTAGCCAAGGATTGAAGGTCAAAGAGATCTCATTTATAGAGTCTCGTAACAAAATGTTAAGTGTAAATGTGTGTCAGATGGTCCAGGAGCCTGGATTATATGGGGTCATGACAACGGGGCTGAAGTGTCATCAAGTACGATGTAACCAGTCTGTTGGGCACAGCAGTACAATCTGGGATTTATCTCTTTCATCCTTCTCAGAGCCTGTGCTAAATCTAGGACATGGCCTTAACGGAGTTTCTGCAAAACAGGAAAATAAATAAAAGCCCATTGTTTTCCTTGCAATGATTTTTTTGAAAGCACAGCTGTGAGAGGCTGAAACAAAACAGTGAGACGAGCTCTGATCATTCCTGCCGTTCCGTCTAGGATCTATAGGTGGCAGTTACATGATCAATTGTACAGACCATTACAGCATTATTTGTGTTCGCTTAGGGTCAGGTTTTGTCCGGACCATGGTGAAGGGTAACAAGGACTCCCCTTGAACCCCCTCATAGCCCCTTGCTTAGGAGCCGAGCACTATGACAATGTCCTTGTGCTTTTCCACAGTCTGCTCTTTGCTAGCACTCCCTCGGAGGGGCTAGCCACCAACTGACCAGAGCTGTGCTTCTCTCTCCTAAGGGCTGGTACAGTGGGCAAACTCTCCGCTATCTCCTGGAGCCCCCTACATGAGCTGTGCGACTCTGCACCATCCGTCATAAGGGCCATGGCTTGAATGGCACAATCTGCCCTTGACCTAATGCAAGCAAAGCTCATTATGACACTTCCCAGTACAATTTCAATGCAGGTCTGAATATTACTGGGTGGTTGAACTGTAGCATTAACTCAGCCCGTCGTCAGACTGCTGACTTAAGTTACATAGGACCTGTCGCCCACCTAGTCTAGAGTCCCGTTCCCTGACAGTGCCCCAGTCTCAGATGCTTCAGGTAAGAGACAAGAAACCCCTCAAAGGTCAGTTATGGAGTAACCCGCCCATGGGTGAAGTTTCTTCCTCACCCCAGGCAGTTAGTGGCTGAAGAGCATCTATTGCTGTCTAAGAGTGTCTCTCTCCGGAAATGCTGGAATCAATCAAATATACAAGGGAAAGGGTCCAGTTCACAATTTAATATTTTCCAGACTGGGAGTTTCAAAGGAGGAGTTAAGCACCCAAACCCCATTTACTAATTTGCTTAGTCCCTTTGAGAACGTCAGCCTTAATACTTTGTTCAGATGTGGACAGCCTGAGCCTGTCCTAACTGAAGCCAAAGGCAAAGCTGCAACAGACTTCGGTGGCTCAGGGTCAGGCCTTTACTATCCAGGCACAACCAAGCAAAAGACAAAGGGCAGACTCTTTGTGGGCCCTGCTAGAAAATTAGAGGTTTTTCTGTTTCTTCCTGTGGTGCCAGAGAAAGAAAATTCTAACAACAGAAGTCTCAAATAGATTCATCTGTGTGCATCTTTTATCAATTTGCCTTGGGTGTTCGAGGACACAAGCGCTCAGAAACCTGACTTGCCCGCCTTGTCCCCCCTCCCTGTACAATATTATCTCACTTTCCAAGTGCACTTAAATGACTGCAGATGGAGCACAAAAGCCAAGACAACATCAGAGGTCTGTATCAGGGATACTGTTGAACAACATCCACTCATTCACTGACAAGAAAGAAGAGCGCATTGGAATCAGGTTTTTAAAATCCTTGCACTATTTTATTGCTTCTCGCCAGTATAAATATTTACCCCACCTCTAGGTCATTATAAAAAAATACAGTTTGACCTCACTAGGCTACGATTCTTTCTAAACACAATGGAAAGGAACCGCATCCTCTTTCAGCTCTGTGGAATACTCGAGGCACTTGCTGAGCGTCACACCCTTTACAAGCCTTTATCCTATGTCACCATTACCAATGCCATTTTCCTACGGTACATTCAAATGCATTTTAGCATGGTTCACTTACGAATCCTTTAATGCCTTAACCAGGAAATGCACAAGGCAGATGAAGGGAAGGGAACTGGAGCATCTGTTGGATAAATGTTGTTAAAAAGTTTTCCATAGGATTCCCCCCAACCTCTTTTTTCCTCATCTCTTAACTCACCCCCTGTTTCTCCTCTCCCACCCCACTCCATTTTTGACCATAACTTCTCTCCAGTACTGTGCACTGACTGACAACTTTGCCCTGAACCCTGCTTTGTGTTCAGTCAATAGAGGGGGGCGAAACAAAGACCATTTTATGCTCGGGCCTTAATTTCCAGCGCAGGGTCTAAAGCTGCGGCATTCTAGGGATGAATTTGGGTTTCCATTTCATCTAGACTTGGTATCTTTTTTTTTTCAATAAACACACACTAGGGTGTTCTACATCAAGAAACCAACGTACGAGGACTGTTCGTGCAGAATGCCGTAGACCCTGATTTTCAGAAGGGCGAAGCATTCACAACACCAGCTGAAGTCAGTGGAAGATGTGGGTGCTCAGTCCCTTGGAAATCTGGGCCGTGGAGGGTTTTTTTAAAGTAAGGGCTGCTCTCAGTGACTTCGCTATAAATCCACTGGTGTCGATGAGGTTATCCCAGGTTTACATGCATGTACCAAAGAGAAGACCCAACGGGGTTACCTGGTTTTCCACTAGTGTAGCTAAAAGCAGAATCTGGCCCTGCGTCTTCAGAGCAGCTCTTTCTAAATGAGTACAGACCATCCCTCCCACCACAGAAAAAGAATGAATGAAGGTTCTGAAACTTCTCTAGCGCTTTCATTTCCCCCCTCCTTCCCCAGTGTCCCTGTATTCCAAGCTCATAACCTCTATTTCCTCCTTGAAACCCAGGTCATAGCGGTACTTAGCTAAATTATATAACTGCAAACAAAGTGTGACAGCTTTATTTGTAATTATACTGCATTTAAAGGAACAAGATGAGCTTAATGAGTTAATAAAGTGGCTGCCTGTCAAAGCGCTCCTGTTTTGCATAGAAGATCTCCAAGGTCCCTTCAGCCAGCCATTCCGGGCTCATGAATATGCAAGGCCTGTCAAGGAGGTGAAGCAGGCTTGCCATAGCAACCAGTCTGCAGGTAGCAGTTTGAGTCCAGCTGCCCCCAGAGGTCCCAGAAGGCTTGTATGAAGTGAAGACTTGTGAGCAGCGAGCATTTTGTCTCCGCACACTTGACAAAACAAAGACAACTCACTCCTCTGGTTTCATGCCACATTTTTTATTCATAAACAAGCTGTTGGCTGTAAAGACATGATAAAACTCAAGCTCAGAGGAGGCTGGCAAACATTTGAATGCAAATCCTCAGCTGCTACAAATCCGTCCTATTATTCAGCCGATTCTCCCCCCCCCCTCCATTTTTGTCTTATGCTAAGCTAGGCAGGATCCCAACTAGAGATATGTGATAAAGTCTGATCAAGGCAAAGAAAGTCACTGGCATAAAAATTAAAAGGTTTGCATGGGGAAATGGGAATGGGGGGGGGGTGGGCTAATGTGGGTGGGGAGTGAGAGAGGAAGAACAAAGGATATAATTCTGCTGTGTTTTTTCTCTGGCAGTTTAAGGTTTAGCGCCACATGCAGAATATTGAGTTTCATGATTTTATTTTATTTTTTAATTACCCTTTTGCCATAACCAGGTAGGTTTCCTTCAAAGGGCACAAGGGGGAAAAAAAACTTGACATGAGTCAGACCCAGGAAGCAATTAGAATTGTATTGATGATGAGCTGCAGCCAAAAAATAGAAAGGTTTAAATAATCCAGAAATGCGACTGCAAAATACAAGAACAATCAGCTCACCCCATCCCCGCCCCCAAACTAGAACGATAGAGAGAATAACCAACCCCCACACCCACACCAAAAAAAAAGGTTAATAAATGCCAGTCCTAGGAATTTTCTTATAGTGGAATAGGTAACTGTGACAGTAATTTTTCCTACTTTCATCCCCTATCATTCGACGCATACATTGCATTGCATTATTATATTATTTGAAATATGTAATCTGGACCATCACATTGTA